CTGTTGGGGTCCTCTTGGGGCCCTCTTGGGGCCCTCTTGGGGCTCTTTCGGGGCCATATTGGGGCCCTCTTGGGGCTCTTTGGGGGAGTCTGAGAGGTCTCTTGGGACCGCTTTGGGCCCCATGGCTCAGCCCCCCCCCCCCCCCATCGGAGGCTCAAAGGCCGTCTTGGGGCCCTCTTCTTGGGGCGGGGCTCTCTTGGGGCGCTTGGGCGTTCTTGGGGCCCTCTTGGTGCCTCTTGGGCCCCTCTTGGGGCTCTCTTGGGCCATCTTGGGGCGATCTTGAGGCATCCGAGGCCCATCGGAAGCGAAAAGGCGAGAAGGCCAAAAACACTGATTTTCCTTAAGTTTTGGAGCCATTTGGGCCTCTCAGAGGGGTCCTTGGAGGGCTCGGTGGGCACTTGAATTCGTCTTGGGGCCGTCTCGGGGCCTCTTGGAGGTATGTCGGAGATTATCTTGAGCCATCTTGAGCTATCGTGCGCCATCTTGGGCTCTCGGAGGGCCTCTTGGAGCCATCTTGGGCCATCTTGGACGCTCTAACCCCTCCGTCTCTAAACCACCTACGCCCAGAGGGCTGGTGGGATAACCTCTTCGCCCCTGGTCACCCTCCCTCACCCTCCCCCCCTCCCCTCACCCTCCCCCTCCTCAGCCTCCCCCCTTCCCCTCACCCTCCCTCACCCTCCCTAACCCTCCCCCCCCTCCCTCACCCTCCTCCCCTCGCCCCTCCTGTCTTCGCCTCCTCCCCCTCCCCTCACCTCTTCCTCCTACTCATCCTCCAACAAGCTGTGACTCCAAGAGCCTCCCTTCCCCCCTCCTCCTCCCACTTCTTATCCTCCTCCCCCTCGCGCGGGCGCCGCCCCCGCCGGGCCGCCTCCGGCGCGCCGGCAGGTGGTCGACGCGGCGGTCGACGTCGTCGGCGAGGGGCCGGCGAGGGGAGGAGGGGGGGAGGAGACGACGACGACGACGACGACGACGACGACGACGACGACGACGTAGATGACAACGATGAGCACTACGACGACCACGACGACGAGGTCGGCTGGTTCGGCCACAGGGGGAGACGACGACGTCAAGGACGACGACGACGACCACGACCACGACGCGATCGTACCCCCTGCGATCCACATAAAAACGTGGTGGAACCACGTTCCCCCTGCAATCCACATATAAACGTGGTGGAACCACGTCCCCCTTGTTTCATTTTGTTTCACTTAAGGCCCCTATGTTTCACTTAAACCCCATGGGTAAAACCCCAATGGTAATGATGATGGTGCGTGCCGTGTCGGGAGAGGCCGTGCATGCCTACGCGTTTTTTTTCCCGGAAAGGGCTTGAGCCCAGGGTTCTCTTTTAGATGGTTTCCCCCCGGGTTTGACGGGAAGAGGGCCGGCGAATTTCTTTTGCGATAAATAACGAGTGGGAAGAGGGCCGGCGAATTAAAATTTGAGGATGTCCCTAGCGAAACGCTTGTTTTTCAGAATTTATTGAGGATGTCTCGAGCGAAACGCTTGTTTTGTGTTGTAGATTGTCCTCTCCTGGGGACCTGAATTCTGAGGATCTCTCAAGTGGATTGCTTGTTTTCACGTGCCCAGGTCTTGAGGATGTCTCGAGCGAGACGCTTGGTTTCACGCCTCCAGGTGGCCCAGACAGATGTCTAGCATGAGGATTTGTTGAGGATGTCTCGAACCAGAGGCTTATTTTCACGTGTCCAGATCGCCCAGGCGGATGTCTAGCATGAGCATTTGTTGAGGATGTCTCGAGCGAGACGCTTGTTTGCACGTGTCCAGGTTGCCCAGGCTGATGTCTAGCATGAGGATGTGCTGACAACGTCTTGAGCGAAACGCGTGTTTTCACATGTCCAGGTCGCCCAGGCACAGCACAGCCCTCGGTACGGTACATCAACATCGATACCCTTAGCATTGCAGCCTGGCATGTTGCCTGGCACGTTCCGCGGAGCGTCCCGTGGCGAGTCCCCCTGGCACGTCGCGCGGTGCACGTCCATTGGCACGTTCCGTAGCGCGTCCCCTTGGCACGTCCCGCGGTGCGTGCCCATGGCACGTCCCCTGTCACGTCGCCTGGCGCGTCCCTTGGGACGTTCCGCGGCGCGTCCTCCTGGCATGTTCCCTCTGTCGATTGGTTCTGGGGCAGCTACCATCTGCTCAGGCAGCTCGAGCTTACGATCCAGATCAGTTCGGTGAGGACCCGAATGCCAGGGAGGACTCGATCCACAACGCTATATAGAGCACAATCGCGGCATGGCACATCGCAGTTCAGCACGGCGTAGCACAGCACAGCCGTCGGCACGGTACATCAAGATCGATACACTCAACTATGCACCTTGGCACGTTCCTTGGCGCGTTCCGTGGCGAGTCCACCTGGCACGTCGCGCGGCGCGTCCCCTGGCACGTCCCTCGGCACGTCCATTGGCACGTTCCGTAGCGCGTCCCCTTGGCACGTCCCGCGGTGCGTCCCCATGGCACGTCCCCTGGCACGTCGCCTGGCGCGTCCCTTGGGACGTTCCGCGGCGCGTCCTCCTGGCATGTTCCCTCTGTCGATTGTTCTGGGGCAGCTACTATGTGCTGAGGCAGCTCGAGCTTACGCTCCAGATCAGTTCGGTGAGGACCCGAATGCCAGGGAGGACTCGATCCACAACGCTATATAGAGCACACTCGCGGCATGGCACATCGCAGTTCAGCACGGCGAGGAGGGGGGGGAAGTCCTAGGAGGGGAGGCAGATCCAGCCGCGGCGACGAGGGCGTCAGGAAAGGCCGAACCAGCCGAAGAGGACCAGGAAAAAACGAAAAGCGTCAGAACCCCCTCCCCCCTCCTCCTCCCCCCTCCTCCCTCGTCCTCACTCCTCCTCCCTCCTCCTCCCTCCTCCCTCCTCCTCCTCTTCCCTCCCCCTCCTCCTCCTCCTCCCCTGCACTCCATGCAGCTCATCACAACTGCAGCCCCTGACGCCAACATGTTCTACTGCGTTAAGAACATGTTGGCGTCACTTGGCTTGGCTTGCCACTTGGCTTGCCTTACGTAAAAAAACATTGCTGGCGGCAACTTATCCTCCTCCTCCTCCTCATCCTACTCCTTCTCCTCCTTGTCCTCCTCATCCTCCTCCTTCTTCTTTCTCCCCCCTCCTCCTCCTTCTCCCCCTCCTCCTGGGCCACGACGTGCGAGCGGTGCCGAAGCGTCGTGCAGGCAGGCAAGACGATACCTTCGATACCACTAAGACCAGCCCAGCTGGCCCGTTGTGAGGCCCTCGAGTTCCCCCGTGGCGCGTTCAACGGGGGGTCGTCGCGGGCCCGGGGGTGCGTCAAACTCGCGGTTTGGGGTCCTCAGGGGGGGGAAGAGACCCACACGGGGTCGGCGGATTTTGGCTTTGTCGGGCCTTCCTGGTTGGGTCGTTTCGGAGGCCTCGTGGAGACCTCTTGGGCCTCTTGGGCAATCTTGGAGCCATCTTGGGCCTTTGGTGCGCTCCTGACCCGTCTGGCGTCGTCGGAGGCCGTCTTGGCGGCCCCTCGGGGCCGACTTTGGGGCCCTCTTGGGCCCGAGCAAAAAGCCACATGCCAAACCAAATCCGTCGAAAACCTTAGCGGAACCAGTGATTTTTGCCTTTTCGGTCTTTTCTGGGGGATATCTGGGGGCGTCGTGTTGGGAGCCTATGGGGCCTTTTGGAAGCTTCTTGGGCGGACTCGGAGGCATCTTGAAGCCTCCTTGGGCCGTCTTAGTGTTGCTTCGGCGAATTGGGAGGCAATTCGGACCATCGTGGGTCATCCTGGAGGCCATCTTCGGCCAACGTGTTGCCATCATAGAAGCTATCTGGAACCCTCTTGGAGAATGTTTGCGGACGTTGAGGTCGTTTGCGGTCGTTAGCGTTTTTGCTGGGTGGCGGGCGGGACGGGCCGAAGCGGCAGGGGGAGTTCCTTTGGACAACGAGAAAACCAAAGGCGGTAGCATCTGGCACGCCAGGCACCCCTGTGGCAAGACCACAGGGGGCGGCGGATAATGGCCTTCGGCTCATCCCGCCAGCATGCCTGGGACTGGGCATCGCTCGGACGTGTGCATTTTTCCTTCGGCGAGGGCCATCGAGGAACATCCTTGACCATTTCGCGAAAAAGCCACGCACGAAACCGAAAAAAACACAGGAAATGGACGTCCGAGCGATGGCCAGTATTGGATGTTCGTATGGGATCTCGTGGGAGGCCTCTCGGGGACCTCCGAGAGGCAGTTTTGACGTTACTTCTGGGCCGTTTGGGGGCTTCTTTTGTGGACTTCCTCGGGAGCGTCTAAGGGGGCATGCTGGGCGCCTCGTGGGGCCTCTTAGGGGGCCTCTTGAGGCTCGGATCTTCGATTCGTGCTCCCTGTCTCGGGCCCCTTTTTTGGGCTGTCTTGGGCCCTCTTGGGCCATCATGGGCGCTTCTTGGGGCCTCCTGGACTCCTGGACTCCTTGGGGCCTCCTGGACTCCTTGGGCCACTGTCGAGCCCTCTTGTAATTAGGCTGGGGCAATGGGCCGTCTTGGAGCGCCGGGAAGCCGAAAAGACGAGAAACCCCAACACCGTCAAACTCCTAAGGCCAATCAGGTGTCTCTGCCGCTGGTGCCCACTTGGGAAGCCTTTTGCAGGCCTATTGGAGGTCTCTTGGGCCGTCTGGGGGCCAGGTTGAGCGCGTTGGAGCGATCTCTCGGCGACTCGGGGCCCTCTTGGACCGTCTTCGGGGCTTCTTGGGCCCCTTGGGCCGAAAATTCATGCGACAAGCCGCGGGGCAGCCCAAGGGAACTGCGGCAAGGCCCACGAGATGGCTCAATTTTGGGTCCCGACCCTTGAAAGACTCCTAAGGACTCAGGACTAAGGCTCCAGGGATTAGGCGAAGGACTTGAGGACACGCCCGCTCCGTGCGCAGGTGGCAGATGATCACGAAGTTCCACGACGCAAATCCGTCTGGTTCTCCTTGTCTACCTCCCGGAGCATGGTGCTTGGTGGCGCCCAGTCGTGTCGTCTTGCTCTCCAGGTGGTCCCACGCCATCGCCAGCACCACGACCGCCGCCTCGAGGCCACATCGCTGGTCCGCAGGGAGGAGGCCCTGGACGACGACGGTCGAGAAGACACCGAAGACGACCCGAGTCTGCCGGGACAACCAAATCTTTCGTACTGTACTTACCCATCGGGAGGGTCGACAGAGGGCTTAGCGCCAACAGGGGTCGGCCAGTCCCCTTCTGGCTCACCTGAATGTTGGAGCCATTCGGAGCCGGCCCGCGTCCCCGCCCTGCGCTGACCTGGGTCTGGGAATTGGCCATGTGGCCAGCCCGGGGTCGCTCTGTGCCACTAGCTGACCCCATGTGTTGGCGGTCGGATAGTCCAGTAGCGTTCTTCTTATTTCTGGTGTCCAGGTGCCTCTTTGGGTCCCAGGGGCCAACCACTGATTTGATGCGGGAAACCATCACATCTTAACATCATGCCGAAGCATGCGTCCACCAGATGATTGTATGTTATGCGTCTGCGCGATGTCGTCAACGTGCTCCTTCACAGAGGAGGACAACCCCGTAGATCTCCGCAGTGGCCCCCCCAACCTGGCTCGCATAATTCTTCATATTATATCAAGTCAAGTTCTCCCCAAACCAGCCTTCCCTTCCATACCTGCGACGTCTTGGCATGTTCAAGACGAAGGCTTGGCGTTCTCGATCCCATCCACGGGACGGGCGTTCTCGTCGCAGGGTCGGTTTCCACGAGTCCGCCCTGAACAGTTCGCCCGCCGCTCTTCTGCATCCGGCCGCCGAATTCTTACAGTCTGGTGTGGCGCCCTGCCCGGCCGACGCATTCTTGACGACTTCCTGGGTGAATCTTTAAGTCGGGCTTGTCCCCCTACAGGGGGATTTTCGACGAAAAACAAAAAATACACCCCATTTGGGGGTATTTTTTATGTTTGGGTTGTTTTTTTTTCATTTTTCGTCGAAAATCCCCCTGTAGGGGGACACGCCCGACATAAGTGAATCTACAGTGGAGGCCAATGCCAGGAAACACCCTGCTTGCCTCCAGGCTGCCCTGGGTTTCCTTGGTTTCGATGGTCTTGCTACGGAAGGCATGACTCTCCCACACCAAAGATCAAGGCACATCCCGGGCTCTCAAGGCTGGGCTTCTCGTGGAAGGTTTCTTGTGGTCGGGCCTCTACTGTGTGGACGACTTCTGGGTGAATCTAGTCTGGCGACCTGGCCCCGGGATCCAGGAGCGGGGCGCAGTGAGGCCATCGGAGCGATCCGAGCGCACCCCTTGGGGCCCGCCCCCAGGGGTCTGGTGTTATGTCGGGCGTGTCCCCCTACAGGGGGATTCTCGACGAAAAATAAAAGTACCCAAAAATACACCAAAAAGGTAAAACAATAATCAAATAATAGTCCCCAGACTATTTTTGGATTATTTGTTTTAGCATTTTTGGTGTATTTTTTTTATTTTTCGTCGGAAATCCCCCTGTAGGTGGACAGTCCCGACTTAAGACTACGTTCGAGCCCTACGCTTCCGTGTCCAACTGGCGCTGAGGTGTCGGTTTTGCATGGCTGGGGCTCATCTCGCTGCAGACGACTCCCTTCGAGCTCTGGGTCCCCGCCAGTGGCTCAGAAGAGAGCGTGTGTTTAGATCCCTTGGCGACAATTGGCCTGACCGTGTAGGGAGGAAGGGACCAGTCACGTCACGATTCGCCGCGCCGGCACCATTTGGTAAGGCCACGGAATAACCAAACATAGTTCGGATAACCGATGTTACAGTGATTTGCTACAGCAGGGCGTGCACCATGATATACGATGCACAGACCCGCTACTGAAAGCCATGGGTAGCTAGGCGCAACTAGGGGGGGCATGTTGATCATACAGTGTCTTTCTCCTCCTTCTCATCGCTTCTCTCTCCTCCCTCCTCGTTCCTCCGCCGCCCCGTGGTCGTCGTCCTCGCCCTGTCCTCTTCCCTGTACTGCAGGGTGCCTCACGCAAGGACAGAAGAGTGAAGAAGGGACCTTGGAGAAGCTCGTTCAAGCACAAACGGAGGTAGGGGGAGGGGTGAAGGCTTTTTAGACGCCCCCTTGCTTAGAAGTCGTGGGCGCCCCTTCCGAGAAGCTGGCGGTTGCTTCTTAGAAGCTGTCCCTGGCGCGCCTCTAAGAAGCAGGTGGCTTGCTTCTGAGAAGCAGTTCCGTGCTTCTGAGAAGTTGCCCGGGCCGCTTCGAAGAAGCGGCGCGCCACTGGCCTGCCGGAGGGGCAGCCGGCGCCCTCTCAGAGGCAGCTGCTCTCTAAGAAGCCTTGCCCCCTCTCTCTACCCGTGTTGTGCACGCCGGCACGAAGGGGAGGGAGGCGAGGGAGGTGGAGCCACGTCGCGACGGCCCGTTGGGTCCCCACGTGAGTTGCCGGGTCGTGCTCCAGGAGGGGCTCTGTCGGGTATAGCCAGGACCCCGGGTAAGGGGACCCGGGTTCGTTTTTCGGGAATCCGAGCCCGACTTCCCCCGGACCCGAGTTACCCCGGATAATTCGAGCGTCCAGAGCCCCACATCATCAGGGGTATGTCGGGTCAGGGCTAACTCGGGTTCCTTTTCTCGGGAATCCAATCCCGAAATACCCCGGACCCGCGTTACCCCGGATAACTCGGGCGCCCAAGGTAGGGCCCTGGGGCCCCTCAATTGGCCAGATTTACTAAGCCAGGTTTGCCGTAACTGGTGTTTTTCGGGTGACGGCAGTTCTGGTGTAGTGGAGATGGGACGGGGGGGCGGCCCCGGTACAAATCACCAAACCAGGTTCCACTAAACCCAGTTCTGCCAACGCCCGACTTTGGGGGGCGCCCCCGGGGCCCGCGGGGCACTGCGGGCCCCCGTCGCCGTGGTCATCTCCATCATCCCAGCGTTCGGGCGGGCCCGCCCCTCTACAAGAGGAATTTGCAAGCATAGGAGAAAAGAGTCAGGGGACGTTTTTTCTTTAATGTTTGATCGTGCTTTCGTATTTTTGGTTTTCATTGTTTGTTGACTATCTCTCATTTTGCGTCCATAATCCGCCTGTAGGAGGTCATGCCCGACCTAATCCTAGCGTCGTCCTTGAACCGTTTGCCTGGCTCTGTCCAGGTGGTGGGCCAAGGTGGCCGTGCAGCCCATCCCGAGCAGTAACCGAGAGAAGTCTTTGGTGCGAGTCCACCCCCCTTTTCACCCGGCGGTGAATAGGACTTGGTCCTAAAACCTCCTCCTCCTCATCCCCCCCTCTCCCCCTCCTCCTCCTCCTTCTCCTGCTCCTGGTTTCTGGTTCCTGACAGCATTGGTGTCTTCAGACGCGGCCGCTTTGCTCCCCCTCCTCCGGCTCCTCGTCGTCGTTGTTGCGCGGCGGGTGCCGCGAAAAAAAACAATAGCCTGGCGAAGGCCCCAACCATATGCAGTTGTGCGTACCGCAGCCTCTCGCCGCCTTCATTTTCTAATTTTGGTTCGGATTTGAATTGCTGTCTTTTTCAAATCACTTCTGGCCTACGCACATCGTTTTCCAGCTGCGACACTTTCCCTTGCATGAACTTAGCGAGCGCCTTGAAGTGCATCATCCAAGCGCTGTTCGACGTCCGCGGGGGCCGACTTCCACGCCTCGAAGGATTTTGCCACACGTGACTTGCTTGAGTTCCTTGCCAACGAATTCGACGCGGGTCAGCGCGGCGTCTTTCTCTGCCTTCGCCACGTCCCTGCAGAACTACGCGCCGTTGTTTTTGGGCCCCGGGCTGTTTATCCACCCTCTCTACAGTGCCGTTTTTAATACATGCTCCGCGTGCGGATCATGTATTAACAATGCACGGATTGAGCATTAAAAACAACGATGAGTTCATGCATAAATTCATTCATACATTGATCATGTATTAAACATCCTATATGTTAAAACATCATATGTATTAAAAGCTGCCCTGTATCTTGACGCGTGCCCCAGGCTGGGGGCCCCCCCGGGCGGGGACCCCCGGGCCCGGTGGTCTGAACCTGAGAGACCCCGGCTGGGGCCCCCTGGACGGAGCGCGCGTTGTGGCCCGCGTCTTCGGTGCGCGTTTTTCGGGCCGGACGAGAAGGGGGGAATTGGGAAAGGGGGGGGGGTACGAAATCTGCTGCATGCAGCTGGTTTCGGCCCCGCCGCCGGGCCCCTTCCTCGATACTTCGGCGCCTCCCGGCGCCGGGAGGCGCCGGGAAAATCAGCTGTCCCCCACTTTGCTATCCCCCACTTTCGCCCGGCCCGAGTTTTACAGTGGAACCCATGCCAAGAGGCACCCGCGCCCCCCCCTGGCCCACGCGCTGGTCCCGAACCCGCCGAGGAAGGCGAGGGCGGGGGGGGGAGGTGAAGGGCAGGGGAAAGAGCGACGAGCCAGAAAGGAGGGGGAGGAGGGGGCGAAGGAGGAGGGAAGAGAGCACAGTTTGCGTCATACGCAAAACAGCGAAAACGGCCCTGAACCCTGTCCTGAAACCTTTATGACGCTGGGTTTAGGTTGCAACTCCTGGGAGATCCGCTTCAGCATCGGCGGTACATCTGGGCCGAAAAAAGCGGCCTGATCTGGCAGAATCCCGAGCTGTCCCGCTTCATCCCGTCATTCGTTGTACCTCGTTTCGTGGGGTTGAATCTGTGGTTCATTTTTGGCTCATCCGCGTCCATCGTGTTTGATTTTTGCAGATTCTTCTTGCGAAGACTTTTCAGGAACCCTCTCCTGATATTCAGTGGCCTTCGCCCCATCCCGCCGCCGCCGTGCCTTGGACCGATCGTTCGACGACCCTGGGGGCCTATGGGGACCCTCTTGGCCCATTTTGGGCACTTCTGGGCCGACGTCACGCGATGAGGCGCGCTGGGGCCTGGGGAAGACGCGCCCCCCTCCAGGAAATTTAGCGTTTTTATATACGGGCCCTTATGTTATCAATCCGTCAGGGGCTTTTGAGCGAAGGATCCTGCCAGGCCGACTGAACTGGGTTGTCATTGACCAGGGTCAGTGGATCCTCGACTCTTGGGGACTGAGGATTGAGGTTTCTTGAGCTCGGCGGCGAGCCCAGGGGGGGAGGGAGAGGGGCTCAGATGGTTTGCCCCCTCTCACTTCGTCCCTGGGCTCCCCGCCGATGAGTACCCGAGGACAATCCGACTTGTGCTTCGTGGCACGGTGACGGGTACGGTAGACACGTGTCGTGTCGCCGCGGGTGCGACCCAGCCGCGGGCGCTCAATTCTGCACGCCGCCAGTGGCCGAGAATCGGCCAACATGGAGCGATTTGGCCATCGGACGGCCATTTGCACGACTGAACGATCTATGAAGCGTCAAAGACCAGAGATTGGGTGAACTCGATCGGGGTTCAGGCTGGCCTGTCCCTCTACAGGAGGAAGATTACGACATAGTCACACACATCAGTCTAGGGACGATGATTCGTTTGGAATGTGTATTGATTATCTTTTATTAGTCGTCCAAAATCCACCAGTAGGAAGACATGCCCGATCTGAGACTGGGGGGGAACCCCCATGGTACCGACCCATTCCCCGCGACCCGGGCTCTCCTCCCGAAGCGCTGTGTTTGGCGGCCCGCAGGCCGCCCGCGAGCCCCCCCGGAGACCAAACATACAGAACAGACAAGAGCGTGATCGTTGTCTTAGTCATAGTTTTGTCGATCGGCAATCGCATCCCCCCTCCCCCCCCGCTATGGCGTAGGTCTCGTTTGCTTCTGGCGCCTTTTTCGGGCAACTGGAGGCTACCCCCCATAGGACGCCTTGCTGCAAGCAGTGGCACTATAAGCAGAAAAGGTCCAGAGCCAGACCCCCCCCTTCCGCCTCATGTCGCGAAACGAAACGGTGAAGAAGAACACGCTCACAACAGCACTCGTGATCCCCTCGGTCTAGGGAGGCAGACGAGGAGGAGGAGGAGGAGGAGGCGGAGGAGGAGGAGGGAGGAGGAGGGAGGAGGACGAGGACGAGGAGGAAGGACGAGGGAGGAGGAGGAGGACGAGGAGGAGGAGGACGAGGAGGAGAAGGAGGAGGAGGAGGAGGAGGAACGAGGAGGAGGAGGAGGAGGAGGAGGAGAAACGAGGAGGAGGAGGAAAAGGAGTAGCGAGGAGGAGCGAGGAGGAGCGAGAGGATGATGAGAGGAGGAGGGGGAGGAGGAGGGAAAGGGCAGGATGAGGATGAAGAGGAGAAGGAGAAGGAGGAGCAGGAGCATGAGCGACGAGAAGGTGGACGAGAGGAGGACGAGGAGGAGGACGAGAAGGACGAGGAGGAGGACGAGGAGAAGGACGAGGAGGAGGAGGAGGAGGAGATCGAAGAGGACGAGGAGGACGAGGAGGAGGAGGAGGAGGAGGAGGAGGAGGAGGTGGAGGAGGAGGAGGAGGAGGAGGAGGAGGAGGAGGAGGGGATGGAGGAGGACGATGTGGACGAGGAGGAGGAGGAGGAGGAGGAGGAGGAGGAGGAGGAAGAAGGAGAAAGGAGGAGAAGAAGGAGGAGAAGGAGGTGGAGCACGAGGAGGAGGAGGATGATGATGAGACGATGAGGAGGAAGAGGAGGAGAGGAGGAGGAGGAGAGTTGAGGATGCGGAGGAGGAGGGAGCGATCGAGGAGTAGGAGGAGGAGGATGAGGAGGAGGGGGAAGGGCAGGAGGAGAGAGGAGGAGGAGAAGGGAGAAGGAGGAGGAGGAGCTGGAGGAGGGGGAGGAGGAGGAGGAGGAGGAGGAGGAGGAGGGAGGAGGAGGGGGAGGAGGAGGAGGAGGAGGAAAAGGAGGAGGAGAAGAGAGGAGGAGAGGAGGAGGAGGTGAGGAGAGGGCAGGAGGAGGAGGAGGAGGAGGAGGAGGACGAGGAGGAGGAAGAGGAGGAGGAGGAGGAGGAGGAGGAGGAGGAGGAGGAGGAGGAGAGGAGGAGGAGGGGGGGACCCCCTGCCCGGCCCAGGGCGTCAGGTCGTGAAGGGCCCGCCGGGCGAGCAGGGCGACGCGGGGCCCGTGGGGTCCGCGGGCGAGCCCGGGGAGGCCGGCCTGGTGGGCCCGCCGGGGCCGCCGGGCGCGAAGGCGGGCCGCGGCGGCTCGGCGTCGAGCGAGCAGTGGCGAGGCATTTTGGCCTGCCTATATCTAGGCCTTCTATATGGGGTCGGGGTAGATGGGGTCAGAGGATCGCCCCACATCGCCGATGCATCGCCACGGCAGCTTAATGCGGAGCCCGACTTGCTCCACGTCGACGTCGCCGATGCACCGCCGATGTCGACGTTGCATCGCCGGTGCGTCGCCGATGCATCGCCGATACATCGCCGATGTATCGGCGATGCGGCGCGATCCTCCGATCCCATCTATGCCGACCCCATCTAGGAGGCTTCTAATATAGGCATAAGGCGGGCATGTCCCTCTACAGGAGGCATGTTCAAGCTTTGTCAAACTATAGTGTGGGGACCATGCGTTTGTTCATGTTGTGGGTATTTCTGAGTATGGTTTGACTCATTTGATTTGTTGTTCAAATTTCGCCTGTAGGAGGACATGCCCGACCAATTTTCGAGCAGTGGCGAGGCGTCCTGGCTTTCCCATGGGCCTACGACGTGATGTTCTAAAAACTTCCTGTGGTCTGCAAGAGATGTGTTTGGAACATGTCTTGCTGATTTTTGTTTTTGTTTTGGCACATCGGTTTTATGTTCGAATGTCAGAACATTAATTTCCTTGTCGAACATGTTTGGGTTCTAAGAACATGTGGTAGGCCTGTTGGAATGCCGAGACGGTCGGTTCCTGTTCAAGACGAGGGACGATCGGATGTGGGGAAGATGCCGATACAGTGGAGACCCATAACCAGAGACACCCTGCTTGCCTCCAGGGGGCCCAGGGTTTCTTGGGCTTCGATGTTTTTGCTATAAAAGACGTGGCGTGCCCACACCAAAAATCCATGGATGGCTTTGGGTCTCATGGTTGGATTTCTTGTGGAAGTTTTCTTGTGGTCGGGGCCCTGCTGTACCAATTCCGTTTCTGCTCCGCTGCTCTCTTTCTTAGGGCGCCCTCGTCTGGCGCCCTCACCGGGCCTCGGGGCAGTCGGCCACGACTCGGGGATTGAGAACTGGTCCAGGGACGGGTCGGGACTTCTCGGCGGCGTGCGAGGGGGGGAAGTGAGGAGGAGAAGGTCTGCGGCAACGATAAGGGGGATAGGCATAAGGGGGGCTGCATCCACCCCCAAATCGCCCATTTATTGCCGATATGGGCCTGATAGCCCCACCGCGCCCAGGAAGGTGCGGATTCACTATCGGGTCCTATCACCGATCTATCGGCAATGCATCCCCGATTCCAGGTCGATGCATCCCCCGCTGTGCCAGTCCCCCCTATCGTTGCCCCTCAGGAGTCAGGAGGGAAAGAAACACACAGACACAGTGAATCGCCGACTCCCAGGAAAATATTGGATAGTATGGGAAGTGGGGGGGGAGACGGAAACCCAGACAAGATGGGAAACATATGGGGAATCTTGGGATTTGCGTGTATTTATTTGTGTGGCCCTGGGCCCCTTTGAGGAGGTCTTCTGAGAAGGCTCGGAAGTTCCCCCGGCCTTCTGAGAGGTGCTCCGAGCTTTCCAGGATAGAACAAACTTTCCTTGAGAAGGCGCGAAGGTCTCTCTGAGAAGTCCCGCCGCCTTCTGAGAAGACCTCCTCCTCCACCTCCTCCTTCTCCTCCTCCTCCTCCCTCCTCCCTCCCCCCTCCTCCCTCCTCCCTCCTCCCTCCTCCCTCCTCCCTCCTCCCTCCTCCCTCCTCCCTCCCTCCTCCCTCCCTCCTCACTCCTCCCTCATCCCTCATCCCTCATCCCTCCTCCTCCTCCTCCTCCTCCTCTCCTCCCTCCTCCTCCTTCCTCCTCCTCCTCCTCCTTCTCCTCTTCCTCCTCCTCCTCCTTCTCCTCCTCCTCCCTCCTCTCCTCATTTGCCCTCGCTCGCCGCCGGACTTCTGGGGACCCCGTACTGACAAGTCAAGACGTCGCATGTCCAGGAACGTACCGAGGCCGCTGCCTTTGCCTCGGTTTCGACCCTTGTGGGCCTCCTTGCAGACCCCCGTCGCCAGCGCTCCTTACTCCGCGGACTTCTAGTCAGCACGCACCCTTGCAGGAGAGATCCGGGGAGTGGCGGCATCGGTACCTTCATTCCGACGAAAGAGCACCTACACACCACCACCGTGCCAGGCCAGGGTCATCCTGGGCCCCAGCATGGTGTATAGACCCTCCTGGCCTCGGCCAGGAGGGCGTACACAGCATGCCAGGGCCAGGATGGCCCTGGCTCAGCACGGCGGCGGTGTACAGTCGGGGCGCTGGATAAGGAACCCTTCTCGTTGGGGCGGGGCTCGGTGTTCCTTGATAGTTTTACAGTTTGCCTTGGGTTGTCCTTAGGTTTTCCATGGGGAATCGAAGTTGAACTTATGGGAAAAGGGGGCCTCGTTCCTTAATTAGGGTTCCTTAGGTCAAGGCCCCGACTGTATAGATGCTTTCTGCGTACTTGTGCCCTCCCAGATGCGAGCGGCGGCGGCCAGGACTGCGGCCCGTGTGCCTCAGGCCCTGTGCGCTGCGCGGTCCCTGGACTGCCCCTCGGCACGAGCCTCCCCCAGAGCCCCTGGCATCGCTCGGACATGTGCATATTTCCTTCGGCGAGGACCATCGAGAAGCCTACTTGATCATTTGGCGAAAAAACCACGCATGAAACCGAAAAAAGCACAGGGAATGGACGTCCGAGCGATGGCGAGAGCCTGGGCCGCGGCACCCGCCGCCAGACCTGTTCCTTCTGTTTCGCGTGTCTCCCACGCTGAGGTCGGGCATGTCCTCTGACAGGCGGATCTTGGAGGAAAACAGGGAAATAGTTATTAACAAGTGGTCAAACATAGCCAGGAATGGTCGGCAAATCGTCCCCGGATTATGTTTTGACTATGTTTGGAGATTCCTCATGTCGAGGGACGACTTAATTTCACGTTTTTCCCGCCCCTCCCTCCGCGGCCGCCCTCTCCGTGTGCGAAGTCGCAGCGTTTCGAGCCCGTCTTGGGCCGACCGGCCCGCGCCTCGCGAGCGAAGGCTCCGCTGCAAGAGATGTGTACACCTGGCCTGGAGCAGCTGCTCAGGGGAACGAACAGTGGCACAAACATACAAGCTTGAAGGCCCGCGCGGAGTTCTCGGATCGGCGTTGGGGCCCCCTGGCGGTGCCTCGCCCTCAGAGCCGCGCCGCTTGTGCCTTGTGGTGCGGGGCCCCTGTCACTCGGCGGCGAGCAAAGGGGGAAAGCCAGAAGGATAAGTCCTGGCGCCAACCTCGCAGAGCGCACTCAGTTCGAAAAGCAACGGGATGGGCCTGGACAGTCCTGCAGAATTTCGTTTCGGATTTCGAAGTGATTTTCGCGCGGATGTATGTTGGCCAGGAAGGAAGACTACAAACAATCCACGTGCAATTCACCTCGTGTTTCGCTCGCCGTTCCGGGGTTTTGCGCATGGGCCGAAACCCACGCAGGAATCCGCTGCAGCACGTCCGCAAGGTTGTTGCAGCGAGTGAGGAGAAGGCCTGCGCAGAGGGCGGGGGGACATCTCGGGAGCCCTCGCGTGCGTCATCTGGGAAGGCCTACACCTTTGGCGATGCTTAAGAAAACTTGAATTTTCGGCCAGGGTCTCGATTATTCTTAAAGTTTCAATGTAAAGCCTAAGATTTCAGTGGAACTTTTGGTTTTTATTCAAGTTCTGAGACTACGAATTTCATAACCGATGATTTTCTCAGCATTTCGCAGGGTGTACGGCCCCCTCTCACTTCCCCCCCCCGGGGGCGCGCCGCCCAGTCACCCCCCTCGTGGCGCTCTCCTGCTCATGTGGCCGTTCGTCTTCCTATCCCCAGTCGGTGATCGACCCTGGGAGACCCAGGCGTTAGCGCCGCGTGGAAGGGGCGTGTGGTGGTGAAAGGAGGAGGAGGAGGAGGAGGAGGAGAGATGAGGGAGGAGGAGGAGGAGGAGGAGGAGGAGGAGGAGGGGAGGGGGGAGGAGGAGGAGGAGGAGGAGGAGGAGGAGGAGGAGGAGGAGGAGGAGGAGGAGGAGGAGGAGGAGGAGGAGGAGGAGGGAGGAGGAGGAGGAGGAGGAGGAGGAGGAGGGGGAGGAGGAGGAGGAGGAGGAGGAGGAGGAGGGGGGAGGAGGAGGAGGCGGGGAGTAGGAGGAGGAGAAGGAGGAGGAGGAGGATGCAGGAGGAGGAAGGAGGTGCAGGAGAGGGGGGGGTAGGATGTCAGGTCGGGCGCGGGCGCGCCCAGCCTGCCCCCCTTCCTCCCTCCTCGCATCCTGGCCCCCCGCAGTTTGGGGGGACCTTAGAGAGGCGTTTCTGAATTCCCCCCACGCCCACACGTTCTAGACCTCCTAGGTGGGGTCGGAGTCGAGGGGGGGCGGAGGATCTTGCCGCATCGCCGATGCATCGCCGATGTGGCTCGATGCGGAGCCCGATTTGCTTCACGTCGACGTCGCCGATGCACCGCCGACGTCGAAGGTGCATCGCCGATGTATCGTCGATGAATCGGCGATGCGGCGCAAGCCAGCCACAGCCAGGCTGGGCAGAGTGCTCAGCGAGTAATTTTGGCAACGTCACTTCGCTTCGCGATCGGTCCTATCCTAATCCTATCCTATTATGTCCTATCCCTTCCCTTCTCACCTCCTGGCCCATGCCCTGACGTGTATGTTTTTTGCATGGCTTACAGATCCCCAGAGGCTTGGATCCCATCCCGGGAACCAGTTTTTGCCCTGATTTGTTTGTTTGACGGTCCCGAGGGCGGACCAGCAAGGTATCCCCCGGGGGCGAAAGACTTGCCGTGATTTTCCCATAACCCGAGGGAGTCTGGGATCCCACCCCTCTATATTTAAGTCAGGCCTGTGCCCCTACAGGGGGATTTTCTACGAAAAATAAGAAGTACCCTAAACATACTAAATCATATAGTCCAAAAATAGTCTGGGGACTTTCTTTTTTTGTATTGTTTACCTTTATGGTGTATTTTTGGGGTATCTTCTATTTTTCGTCGAAAATCCCCCTGTAGGGGGACACGCCCGACATAACCCTCCATCGTCCTGTCCTCTCTCCTTCCCCCTGCCC